TCTAGCCACTGTGTGACTGCCTTCGGCAAAAATTCTACAGATAACCAATCACCTACAATCAAATTAGTATATCTATTCGAAAGAATTTGTTTTGCAGAATTTAATACTATGCGAGCTAAACAAGATGAAATTGCTAGTTGGTATTCATATAGAAAGTTTTTTGAAAAAAGACATAGTGAAATTTTACCTGGAATCTTGAAAAATAAACTACAACTTACGAAACAAAAAGCATATAAGCTAGCGAGTAGCCAAATTTATGATGAAATGTTATATTATCTTTCAGGTATCTCCCGAGTAAATTTGCGTAAAAAAACACAACTAACTAAACCTATATATAAGTTGTTTAATGAAATTAGAGAAGATAAGATTTTGCGAATTAAGACTTATAGCGCAAATAAACTTTCAAAATTAACTGATGCACAAATCGATATAATCATATATGAGGTAAGTCGTTTCACAGAAAAGTGTGATACTACCCCCCACTGCGTGAAAAAAATTCACGCACTCATATGACTGAACTATCTAACTCTACCAAACCTCAGATCTCAAATTCCTCAGATTCGGAAGCTGAGGTAAGTATGTCTAATACTCCTGACTCTCCCATCTCGAGAAAATTAGATATTAATGTAACTAGCTCTACTAAGGTAAGCGCATTGCCTGAGAAGGTTTTGCCAAAAATCCAGGTGAGTGTATCAGATGTAAAAGCATCCTCACTACATGAGAACAAAACCCAACCTTCAATTTTCACCTTACCTAGTGATCCAGAAGAAAATCGAAAACATATTATCAAAATAGTATTAGATCGCTTTCCTTATTTAACTTTGAAATATAGTAACAAGTATGGTGACTATTTTAATTGTCCAAAAACCTGTCTCGTATGTAATAAAGAGCATAAAAGAGATGATGTAAAAGATGAGTAGGGGAGTGGTGATTATGTCAATACAAAAACATATTGTCTTACATGTTGGGAGAATAAATATCAGAATTCAATCCAAATAGTGACTGTAAAAGCATAAGTTAATAAGAAAACTCTATTATTTCCACCAATTAATAATCGCAAATTGCATTGCAAGCCCAAAGGGGCGACTCTAAAGGGTCAAAATCACATAAAAATAAAACATGGGAAGGCCACAGGACCCCCCTTCTTTATTTAATATTTTTTGCCAGAATGGCAACATACAAATAAAATAATACAAATATGAATAAAAAATCAAAAGCCATAATAACCGCGAACTTTCAATACTTTTGAAAATATTACAGGGTTGATACCGGGATAATTACATAGAATTCGATAATCGAGAATTATGCCCACACCAGATAGCTCTTTTTGATCGCTTTCTGGATTGGAGTCATTAGTCTTGGGGGTATTACTATCATTGGTCTTGGGGGTATTGTTGGTCTTGGAAGTGGTACTATTGCTTATTTTTTGTACCTGAATACGAGAAAAATCATGGTAAGTAAAAATTCGTCTTTATAGATTTTATTAAATGAAATAGCAAAATTACTTTAAAAATAAATTATGGGCAGGTAAATCAATATATGAGCAAAAATAACGTTATTGCTAGATGCGGAGCATCCTCATTTTATGAGACTTATCTTAAGGTGGGAACTCACTCATTTTTATACTATTCGGTTCACTAGATCTAAAAAATAAAATACATTAGTAATTATGTTACTCAAATCCAATACCAGTTTTTTTCTCTATAAAGCAACTCCGCTCGGTCATAAGTTCCAAACACTGAATCTATTTTGTTATTTTTCTGGTGAAATTAGACCTCTTATATTTGACAATCTTTCCTGCAAAGTAAAAAAGTCAACGATCTCAATGATCTGGGAATGCCAAGTTCCTGCGACATATGAATTTGGATAAAACTACTGATAAAGAACGTTATACTTATTATCCTTATAGCCTTTTTAAGTCTCATTCTTATCGCGGGATCGTATAAAGTAAGGAAAAGGGTCTAGACATTATTTGCATTTGTAATACAGTATTCGTTAATAAAAAAATCAACCGTGAGAAATTAGATGCGAAGCATCCTCCTTTCAGGAGAGGTAACACCGCATATAGTTTAATGCAGGCCATTAATTATTAAAGCCGGTCAAGTTTTTATCGCTATTTTAGCTTCGACCTAGGCCAAAATAAAAGCGGACCGTTAAATCATATGATATGACATAATACATACTTATTTTTTCTAGCATGGATCAATGTTGAAATAAATCAGTGATGCTAGATGTTTGATTGTTATAATAGCATAAATAAGGAAGTTCGCGCTTATTCTAAATTTGTAAATCGAGCTTAAATATATACGTAGCGTGTTTCAATAAGTTAATAGATTTGCCATGTCCAATAATTGTGGTGCCAAATTTAGTAAAGAATTTAATTATTTGTACTAGAAATTATCGTGCTATGTTAAGATGCCAAATAAGCCGTAATTTATAATCAAAGGGTCTTCAGTACAAAGTTCTGTTCCGAATTTAGGTGAAAAAAGCAGTTGATAGAACATGGTTGCATTATAAAAAGCGCACATATGTATTTGCAAGTATTTTTAAAAACCTGCCGCTCGAATATTTGCCCAGTATATACGCTTATTTTAAATTTGTAAATGAGCTGAAGTGCCAAATATATCGAAATCCAGTCCAAAAATCGTGATGCATGTTGATCGAACATCCCGCATAATGCTTTCTGTACCGTGTGATGTACGAATATTTATGGCTTTTTGTTAAAAACCGCCCCTTGAAAACAAACATATTGTCATTAATAATACGCTCTGCATCAAATTTATACACAGCCCAAAACTAGATATTGATATATATAATCGCATAATAGTGCTATATAAATTCCTTTAGAGCAATTTTTTACCGATATTCCACCTTGCCTTCATGTCGATAAGACGATCGCTCAAGTTATTTGCATGGGTTCGTGGAAT